GCTCGCTACTTTCGTCGCCGTTGTCGCTGTCAGTGCGAATACTTGTCGCTTTTACCGAGCTGATTCAATCACCCGGTAGTGTCGGGTTATTCGAATTTTTATACCGGAAACGAGACCGTCTACTTTTTTTTTTGGTTGACGTGGCAACTTTTTTTTTTTGAAAATGCGTCGCTACATTTCCTGTCACTCGTCCGGGGTACCGGTGGCGCTTTCGTCCAAGGCGCTAGGTCAGGAACGTCTCTTGCGTGGATGGTGAAGATCGCGAGGACGATAAGGTCTCTCCCGAAGATAAAGGATCCGGATGAGCCATCCTCTCCTTCCTCGTCCTACCACCCTTGCCAGGATGGATGATCCGTTCACGGTACATTTAAGTGTCGCGATATACAGCTGGGCCTTCACCGAGGCTTGGACACCGGGGGGGTCGCGCGAGTCGCATGGAGGCCGAGAAGCTTCTAGAAGCTTCTAGAAGCTTCTTCTCTGACTATACGTAAACTGCCGTCCCTTCCCTGCGGAACGAACGAAATTTCGGATTTTGACTCTCCGCGAGGGCGACGTTACTTCGTTTATTGAACTTTCGGCGATTTCTCATGGGTCGGACACGTGGGTGTGAGACCCTTCGCGAAGAGATGGATGAAAGACAAGAGTATCGGCAGGGGATGTATAAACTGTCCTTAGGTGTTGTCCACACTGTTTTTTTTTTTTTATATATATATACAGGACCTTAACGATATTTAAAGTTTCTTAAGAACTTTTCCGGATCCTGGAATGACATTAGTCTTCGGAGCGTGGCAAGAGGTCAAAGGTGGTGGGGGCGGTGGGATCCGGCGGGGGGTCGGGGCTTGCTTTCTCCGACCACGTTCGCAACCCTCCGGTGCACATACTAACGTCGAATTACCGAAGCTACCCTTCCACGTTCCCATGTATGCCGTTCATGGAACGACCCAGGCTCGGTGGGGGGTGGTGGGGCGGAGAAAAAGTCACCCTCTAATTTTTCTTTTATTTCTTATTTTTTTCCCTCTGTCCCCTTCTTATCTTTCTTTGATATGTTTTTATCTAACTCACTTTCTCCCTCTCGTCTCTTTACTCACTCGTACCTTTCTCCGCACGCGTCTGGCGCTATCGCGCTGTGTCAGTGTCTCGTTAAAGGGTGAC